AGCAAGCTTGGTTAATAAGAGATTTATTATACGACTGAAGTTCAAAGGGACACAAGTGCGGTATCATTCGGAACCATTCGGGACAGTGCCCGGTCCAATACTTGGAGAATATTGGACCGGGAATGGAGCATTTTGATTGGTTGATTTTAGTTATTGGCCCTCTGACTGCCCGAGTCGTGTAACATGTAGGATATAGATTTAGCCAAGCCTAAAGGCGGAGCTTACGTGACACTTACGTGTAACACGTGCCTGTGAAAAGTCAAAATTTTGGAGAAACCAAGAAAGTAAACACAATGCGTAGTAAATTTTTAAAAATCATCTTTTCCAAAACACAAGCTCCAGTGAAAGAAGACTAATCAAATAACTTATTTCCGACGAAAAAAGCGATAGGTGCATATTACGTTTTAACACAAAAATTAGGACGAAAGATAAAAATCGCTAAATATTTTCGCATGTGTGCAAATGAGCATCGGTGGATCACATTTCAAAATGAATATGCGAATTTGTCCGTGAGTGAAGAGATCTCAAGTTCCATGGAATCTATTAATAGGAAGCAAGACTAAAATGGCCAAGAAATATTTCGGGCGACAGATTTATTCAAAACAGTTTTTTATTTGCTGTTATTAGCGAAAAACGTACGAATTTCTTCAGTGTAGAAAGCCCACGCGGTAAAATTCATCATGATTAGATCGTTGTTTACTTGGCTTCAAGACCAGAAATTGCGCAGCGTTATGTTGAAGATTCTGAAGAAACTTTGATTTGACGCAAAATCTTCTATTAAACAATACTTTTTTAACACATTGTTACTCGAACATAATATTTACCGGGCCATCGAATCCTCAAAATGTCGCTAGGCCCTGCTTGAAGTCCGAAAGTTCGGTTTTCACTTTACGTCCATAATTTGCATCGTGTTGGAGAATCGTAGTGTCGTTGACTCGAGAGCTTATTCTGTCATCTTTAAGACCTTGATGTCCATTCTTTTCCAAGCCGAGTATTCTATAGCATTGTTACTTTACATTCTGAGTTCCACAAGGTCTAACTCGATCGCAAATGAACGAAAAAGCCGACCTGAAAATTTTGAGGGTCGGACTCGCGGACGCCATATTTTCAAATTTGATCATATGGTATTTTTGTGATAGCATACATGACAGAGGGTACGTAGGTACGTACCAACGTACGTACCTACCTACTAACGCTCGCTCAGTCACGTGACAACCAAACGAAAATAGGTTGACCATATTCCATGAGAATGGAGCCCCGCTATAAACAATATTCTTAATACTACGTGTGGGAAATCTGTCAAACAGCGGTACACAACGAACGGCGCTTGATGGAGGCACTAGAATCTTCTTTTCCTCCTTGTGTAGAAACACCGGTCTACCTGCCCTGAGGAAAAAGAGAGATGCTCCAACCATAACTGTGATGAACGTGTGAAGAGATCCGATCTTCAGCGGCACCAGGAACTCGAGTGTCTCTATCGCACCCAGCGGTGCCCCTTGTGCGATGATCTTATGAGTGCTGCTGTTCTTAAGGTCAGTTTGATCACCCTCAAAAGCTGTTACTACCACAATAACACTTTTCTCTCGGGCGTTTTTTTAAATCATACCACCAGTATATTTTAGTTTGTTTCAAAGGCAATATCATAATGTTTTTGCTATTCGTAAGATGCCTACATCTGTGAACAGGTTAAGGGCACCTCTTTCCTTTCTTTTCGGTTTTCCGCGCACCCTTGCATTCAACCTTCCTTTATTGAATTATCCTCAAAGTAAATGAATTCTCATCAAAAACTTCATAAATGGTTCCAACTCTCGTTCGTGTTTGTAATTTACTTATATTTTATATCTATTCCAAATTTTTTAGACTCATCAAGTACAGGATTGCAAAAAGTATCCCATTCAATGTCGCGGATGTGGCAAAGAAGGAATTCTACGGGAAGAGGTAGCCATGTTTAATACGTCATGTATTTTCATACATATTTCTCCTGGAGAACAGCCAAAATAGTTGAACTATATCCAGGATTTACCTCAACTCTGAGGGAGAGGTTTTGCCATATCAATATAAAGCGCTACATTTGAATTCGAATGTGTCATTTTTGTTTTTGATCTTTTGAATTTTTGTAGTGCACAAAAGTCTGTAGAATTAGATCGTGCAACTTAAGTGTCTATCTTTCCTTCAACCTAACAAGTACAACTAATATTACACTATGCATGCTCCTCTAAGACACAGGAATTTGAAAAACCCTTGGTTGTAACCGCTGGGCTTACAACAAAGATTTTTATCTTCCCTTAACTTCAATCCACACAGATGGAGAGCCATGTTAACCCAATTCATGGTGACTGTGAGGCAGTTGAGAGGACCTGTGCATTTCAACAGATTGGTTGCAGCAACAACAAGGTTCGTATCATAATGAAGATTTTAGTTAATTGCTTTTTCTAAACTTTTAATTAAAGTATATCCTTCGTATAGGTCCACTTCCTAAGTGATGATAAAGTTTCCGAGTAGTTCACACTTCGAAACACAGGCGTATCGATTGAGATCCCCTTCAAAACCGTTTTTTTTTTTTTCGGATGTCTGACGTCCTCAAAAAAGCAACGAAAGATATTTAATTGGGAACACTAAATCAACGAAAGTTGCGAAAAAATCATTAAAAAAGCTAAGAGGATTCGTCAAGATTTCGTTTGTACACATCACCCTCAAAAAACAAAGGATGATTTTCCTAATCACTCTTAAACCCTATACTAGCAGAAAATGAAGCAACCCGAGGTCAAGAAACATAATGAGCTGAGTGCGATTTTGCACATCAATCTTCTGCTGACCTATGTCCTTCGGCTCGAGGAGCAAGTGCAGAGTCAGCTCTCTATGAGTGATTCATGGGGTGGTGGCTCCTCTGATCAGTGGATAAGGCGATCCGAGATGACCATTGCTAACGCCATATCCAGCATAGACACAGTGGTACAAGAGCAAACCGATTTGCGACAAAAGCTAGAAGATAACTCTAGGAGACTGGTTTCGATTGAAAAAAGAGTTTCAACCCATAGAGACCAGTTACCACAATCGGCAGTTTTCTCTTCGTTACAACCACACCCCATGTCGGACGAGATTTCCCGACGTCTCACAAATGCCGAAAATGGCACCAATAACATCGAGTTCTTGGTAAACGAAACAAGGCGAGAGTTGACCGAAGTGAGACAAGAAGTATCGTCCATTAAACGCCAAATGGACGGTGCAGTGGACAGTATTAGACGACTCGAACGAAGAATGGAGTCTGTCGAACACAATTTGGCGCTCAGAAATGTTGCTTTGTCGGACATCGAAGAACACGTCCAGCAGCAGCAAGTCTCTACATATAATGGGATCTTACTCTGGAAAATATCGGATTTTGCACGGAAGAGAAATGAGGCGATAAATGGGCGACAGGTGTCAATGTATAGCCCGTGCTTTTACACCGGTCAGCATGGTTACAAGATGTGCGCACGACTTTACTTGAATGGCGATGGAATGGGTAAAGGAACTCATCTTTCGCTGTTCTTTGTTGTCATGCGTGGAGACTACGATGCGTTACTCCGCTGGCCATTCAGACAGAAGGTGACCTTCATGTTGTTGGATCAGGATAACGTAGAGCACGTGGTCGATGCTTTCAGACCCGATCCAAACAGCTCATCTTTCCAAAGGCCGCGAAGGGAATCAAACATCGCCAGTGGGTGTCCAATGTTTTGTTCTCTATCGGAGTTCAATAACCACGCCTATGTAAGGGACGATGCTATGTTCCTGAAGGTTATTGTGGATACTACAGATNATAGAGACCAGTTACCACAATCGGCAGTTTTCTCTTCGTCACAACCACTCCTCATGTCGGACGAGATTTCCCGACGTCTCACAAACGCCGAAAATGGCACCAATAACATCGAGTTCTTGGTAAACGAAACAAGGCGAGAGTTGACCGAAGTGAGACAAGAAGTATCGTCCGTGAAACGCCAAATGGATGGTGCAATGGACAGTATTAGACGACTCGAACGAAGAATGGAGTCTGTGGAACACAATTTGACGCTCAGAAATGTTGTTTTATCGGACATCGAAGAACACGTCCAACAGCAGCAAGTCTCTACATATAATGGGATCTTACTCTGGAAAATATCAGATTTTGTACGCAAAAGAAATGATGCGATAAATGGGCGACAGGTGTCAATGTATAGCCCGTGCTTTTACACCAGTCAGCATGGTTACAAAATGTGTGCACGACTTTACTTGAATGGCGACGGAATGGGTAAAGGAACCCATCTTTCGCTGTTCTTTGTTGTCATGCGTGGAGACTACGATGCGTTACTCCGCTGGCCATTCAGACAGAAGGTGACCTTCATGTTGTTGGATCAGGATAACGTAGAGCACGTGGTCGATGCTTTCAGACCCGATCCAAACAGCTCATCTTTCCAAAGGCCGCGAAAGGAATCAAACATCGCCAGTGGGTGTCCAATGTTTTGTTCTCTATCGGAGTTTAATAACCACGCCTATGTAAGGGACGATGATATGTTCCTGAAGGTTATTGTGGATACTACAGATCTCTAAAGAAGTCAGGGCTTTGAGTAAGGCCTAGATATCTAAGAAATCTTCAAATATTTCGTCAATTTCACGAAAAGGTTGATAGTTTTCGTGAGACTGCTCAGTGAGAAAAAAAAGTAGCAAAAATACTATTTCATAACATTTTACAAATTTTGCATGATAATAGCTGTCATATTAAGTGTAATGCCCTTGTAGTTCATATCATTCAGTAGTTAGAAGAATGACTTGAAAACCATAAAGTATTCTTCTACCTGACCTTAGCATGCAAAAGGTAGATATTAGTCCAGAAAGAAACGTAGCGAAAATGCAAGTGCGTAACTTTGCAAACTGTCTTGCAAACATTCGTTTGAGAACCACTTTCGCGTTGGCCCCCTTTTGACATTCTACAGAGCCTCTTATAGTCTTAGCTAGACTGAAATATAGGACTGTGTTGAATTGCATGAAAACTCTACAGGAAGGCTTACATCAACACAAATCGAGTCGTATTTTATACGGCACCAACAGTGCGGGATTCTATTTTGTACATGCCCTCTAGAATTTTAACTAGCATTTCCCTAATCACATATTTTACGAAAGCATTTATCGAGCTCTGCTGCAGAGAGAAAAAAATTAACACCAGAAGCCATGAAAAATACACCTCGTGGGTTCGAAGTGAGCCTGTGTTATAAGATGATTGTGAAGCACCAAGTAATTTAGGGGTTATCTATAATGACTCGAAAATAGTTAATATTCTACAGCATTTTTGCACAGCCAAGGGGTGGCTGACTTTAGCTTAACTCGCCAGTAATTTTAGCAGACTCCTAGACTGCGAACTCTGCATGTAAATTACAGCCTCGATTAATTTCACTGAACAATTCCGTTTCTCGATTTTATTTTTCACCATATTAACTACCTGTAAAATTATTCTATAATAGTTAGAGTACGTACGTTTGGGTACAAGATGGCTGGTAGCTGATACAAAATTTGTTTGTTGGAATCGACTTTTACGTGTCAGTACAACGTCTTCACTTATAAAGCCAGGTTTCAATAGTTCGAACAATGGTCAAATTGCTTAGTTGTTACCCTTGTTGTTGTTTTTGCTTCGTCTTCTCTCTTCCAAAAGTTAAACTTTATAGAATCCACTCGAGGCGAGTTGTTGCGGTGGGAAACTGTTTTTGGGTATTTCAACCAATAAGGGGCACGATTAGCCGAAACTTTCTCACCAATAGGAATAGTCTTTTTTTCATTTGCCAAGTTCATTATTTTATTCATTTCTGAACAATAAATTCACACGTCTTGTAGCTTAGCGTTTCAAAGGAGTGAAATCTGAACAATATCTTCCTCCACTATCATCATTTTTTTGTCATTGCTATTATTACTTTTATAACGAGTTTATTAGCTCAACATTTCTATCACGCACAGCAATCGACAGCGATTGGTCGAATTGCTTTGACAAAAATCTTAAGTTTTTCAAATCTAAGCAATAGGACAGACCAATGTGCCACACACTTTACTCAAAATCTATCCTGAAATAGATAACGTGTAGAGTAGCCANACGATCCTTCGCAGTAAAGCACTATTTGAGCAATAGTGAAAATCAGACCTGAAAAAAATTTCAGGCCTGTACGGGATTCGAACCACTGACCTCTGCGATACTAGTGCAGCGCTCTACCAATTGAGCTAACAAGCCAACTGGGAGCAGGCCATCAAATTAATTCGACATAAACCCGTAGATGATAAATCAAACAACAACAAACATATGAAACATATGTATGAACTGCGGTTATGAGACGTATATGTGAACGATCCTTCGTAGTAAAGCACTATTTGAGCAATAGTGAAAATCAGACCTGAAAAACTCAGGCCTGAAATTGTTAGCTCAATTGGTAGAGCGCTACACTAGTATCGCAGAGGTCAGTGGTTCGAATCCCGTACAGGCCTGAAATAATTTTTTTCAGGTCTGATTTTCACTATTGCTCAAATAGTGCTTTACTGCGAAGGATCGTTCACATATACGTCTCATAACCGCAGTTCATACATATGTTTCATATGTTTGTTGTTGTTTGATTTATCATCTACGGGTTTATGTCGAATTAATTTGATGGCCTGCTCCCAGTTGGCTTGTTAGCTCAATTGGTAGAGCGCTGCACTAGTATCGCAGAGGTCAGTGGTTCGAATCCCGTACAGGCCTGAAATTTTTTTCAGGTCTGATTTTCACTATTGCTCAAATAGTGCTTTACTGCGAAGGATCGTTCACATATACGTCTCATAACCGCAGTTCATACATATGTTTCATATGTTTGTTGTTGTTTGATTTATCATCTACGGGTTTATGTCGAATTAATTTGATGGCCTGCTCCCAGTTGGCTTGTTAGCTCAATTGGTAGAGCGCTGCACTAGTATCGCAGAGGTCAGTGGTTCGAATCCCGTACAGGCCTGAAATTTTTTTCAGGTCTGATTTTCACTATTGCTCAAATAGTGCTTTACTGCGAAGGATCGTTCACATATACGTCTCATAACCGCAGTTCATACATATGTTTCATATGTTTGTTGTTGATTGTCTACTTTGTAAATAGCGCGATCATTGTAAAAATAAACAAACGCACAAAAAAAAAACACAAAGCAAAATTTGTCGGATTTATTTGTACGTACATTTCACTACGTTAAGTCATTAATTCGTTGTAGCTTGCTTGAGATGTGTTTAGAACTGCAATTTTCGCCATCACAATGATCGATCTTTCAATTTTGATGACCGTGTGTGCTCTGCACTACAATCGTCCCTGTTGGGTTTTCTCGTATTAAACAAAATATGTGAGCATGATATAGTCACTAAACTATCCACAGAGTGGATATACCTATTGAGGTAACTGCAAAACAGGAGAGCATGAAGCTAGGATAGATAGCTTAGATAGATAGATAGCTATATTAAGGAGTAAAATCATTGCAGCCCCTGGGCCGACTGAAATATGACTTACTTTACAATGGAACTAAACGTTACCTATAAATATACGATAAACTACTTTGAAAAAAACCGTAAAATGTAATCTACAATAGAATACAAAAGGAGAAGCATCAACACCAAGATACTAATAATTAAGATTACGACTAATAAATAGAACTGTTCGCCATAATAAAAGCGTTTTTAAACCTATTGGTCTTACAAATTGGTTGTTTGAAGTATCTCTGGCTACGGGTGCAATAAGTGGACCCGTTGCGTGGCGGCAGCAGACTATAGAGCTTATGGCTGTGGTCCTTTACAATTTGGTCAAATAGGGTGATACACAAGGCCTCCCTCCTCTCGTATAGTGACGTGATATCTAGAGATAAAACCCGCATGATACCTATTTACGCCATATTTAGATCACGCAAGTTTACGGAGATTTTAGCAGGATCTACTAATAAACAGTCATGAGTCGCAATTTGCTCACGTGAACATCGTCTGTTCGTCTCTTACAAGCGAGACGAAGTATCACTTGAATTCAGTCGCTTCACTTCATCTTCTCCTGTGGGTGTTGAAGAGACCCGAAGTCATCGACCAGGCTCTGAATGCTTGGCTTCGCCTCACAGTAATTCAGCCACTAGAGCAGCGCACTGATATTACAGAAATAACAGTTTGCATACATCCCAGCTGTGCTATATTTCCTATTTTTCCTATTTATTTTACAAGATCCTATAGAACTCCTATAATATGCCAAACACTCCTATATTTCCTATAAATACTTCTTAAGTTATAAGTAATAAAATAAAGCGAGTGTGTCCAACAGGCCAGATTGAGTTTGAATTGAGTGTACTCTAACTACTGGCTGTGTTGTGCTGTCACCTGTGGTTTGATATTATTCTTAGACTGGATTGAGTGAGACCGGGAGAAGTGTTACAAGGTAAGACCGTTTTCAACTTATTTGTATAGTCAAATGTTAATGAGATTTTCTTAGTATTACGTTTTGTCTTCATCTGAGCGTGCGTTTTTTGTCTTGAATTTAGAGGTGGTGTCCATAATGTTGCTTGAGACATTTCCTTGCAAAATACAAACAGACATGCCAGGCACATCGATGTGCCGTCCTCTTGAGCCTCTACTTTAATCTTTAACTAAATAGCCAGGCATCTCTATCAGCGCATGTTTTGTTTGAGGTTACTGGCAGAATTTGGTGTTTAATTTTCCGTGCTGGTCAAATTCTGAAGGGTGTGGCGTCCCTTACCTCCAGTGCTGCTTGGGTGTGGAGGACATTAAATGGTTACAAATTTTGTAACATAGATTATCCTAGACTATGATGAAATGCTTAAACACCCTTGTTTCAATAAAGAATGATTGTCATGACACGGTAATTGTAACTGAACTATTGTAGAAAACGTTTACCTAGCCCTAACACAGCACGTTTCTTATTGCAGGTTACTGATGTAAATACTCTTTAAAATGCCTGGTGGAAAGACCCATTTCAAGAAGGAGTGGCTTCTTCAGACAGATGGACTGGGTCATAAAATTTCTAGTTGGTGCCAGCCGAGCAATGAAGTGGGAAGGGCTTTTGGCTCCATCTGCAAAAGAACTTTCCGATGCGACAACCGCGGACTCCCACAATTACTTCAGCATGCTAAGGGCCAAAGTCACAAAACACTGGCAAATGAAATACTCAGTGGCTCCCAAATGGTTTTTGCACCCACTAAATTAACAGAACCTGGCAATACCTCAAACACAGCTTCTGTTTCAACTGCTAGCATTGTTTCAAAACCGCAAGATTCTCAAACTGGACAAAAGCAATCAAGTGGAACATTGCAGAAGCAACGAAGGCAGAGTTAGTTTGGGCTATGAAAGTGGTTGGTTCTCACTACAGTTGTGCCTCTTGTGATAACATCAAGGAAGCAACGAAGGCAGAGTTGGTTTGGGCTATGAAAGTGGTTGGTTCTCAGTACAGTTATGCCTCTTGTGATAACATCAAGGAGACCTTAGATGCCATATTTCCTGGTAAAATCCCCAACAACTTTACAATGAGCTCATCAAAGGTATCATACTTGGTCTCTGAAGCGACTGGGCCTTACTTCAAGAAAATTGTAGCAGATGATGTGAAGAACTCAGGGTCACCGTTTACCCTACAGTACGATGGGACGACAAATACCCAAGTAAATAAGCAGCTAGTCATCAAAATTCGCTCCTGGTCGTCAGCTCAATCAAAATTCGTTGTTCACCATTTACAGACATACTTAATGGGTCATGCAACAGGTCTTCACCTTGCTGAGAAGATCATTTCTGCAGTTCATGATAATAGAACAGCCCTAGAACAGCTTCAAATGCTTGAAAGTGATGGACCAAATGTGAACAAAACAGTTTGGAACATTGTAAATGATGCCCTCTTGAATTTTCCCAGCAGGAACTATGGTCTTACTAATATTGGCACCTGCAATCTTCACATTTGCCACAATGCATTCGCCAAAGGTTTGGATGTGTTTGGTAGTAGAATTACAGAATTTGTTATCGACTTGCACTTGTGGTTTAAAATGTCTGCTGCCAGGCGAGAAGATTATGAAGTAGGGCAAGAAGAGATGGGTCTTGCTAAGCACAAGTTCCTCAAACATGTAGAATGCAGATGGCTTTCCCTTCAACCAGCAGTGCTCAGAATTTTGGAGCAGCTTAAAGGGTTAAAGAGGTATTTCCTTACAGTCTTACCTGAGAAGCAACCGTCTGTCACTAGCAATCGTTGGTACATCAGAATCACACGTCAGCTTCAATCACATGACCTGGTGGTGCAAATGCACTTTTTAATCTCTGTTGCTGACATTTTTAAACTCCTTTCTAAAGTTTTTCCAGAGTGAAGAGCCTCTCATTCACTTACTTTATGACCAACTTACCACTCTCCTGAAAACGCTGATGGGAAGGTTCATCAGGAAAGAACATTTGGCAAACAAGCCTGCCAAAGAATTTTCAAAAATCAACTTGGAAGTCTTTGAAAACCATTTGGCATACAAAGAATTGGGAATTGGTCAACAAACCCGCAGAGAAATTGGAAAGT